TCTTCCATTGTCTCTTGCATAATATGCCTGCATACAAAGGTAGCGCCGGACAAGAAGAGTGACCAGGAGGGGAAAAGAGAAAAACAAAAGGTGCTTGCATTGTGCGTGTGTGTGTGTGTGTGTGTTGGGGTGGGGGTTACATAGGAGAAAATAGCTGCAATAGAGATATGCGAGGGGGAGGGAGGGATGTGTATTAAATGATGAGAGAGGTGACCTTTTTCTCCCCCAGCTTCTTTGTGGCCAACGGTAAGCAGCCATGTTTGAGAGGGGACGCCATTTTCTTGCGGCACTTATTACAGCATTATTTTTTTTTTCAGCGATTTTGGGATTCGGTGGAAACTGTTGAAGCACGCAGTCATGTGAGACATCAGTTGATCATGTGCAGAGTGTGTCTGTGTCAGGTTAAAGTGACGGGCCGTACGGGGGGGGGTTGAGTCAGGGATGGGTGGGTTTGTGAGTTCAGATTAAACAGACTTCCTTTCTGACCACTGCTAACGTTCATAACAGCCGACAGTCGAAAACGTCTTTGTTTTGGGATATATTTTTCCGCACCTGCTGCAAAACTGATCTTACATCTAACGTCATGTCCATCTTCTTTTGGGACACCTGTGTTGACCAGATTTCTTTAGCCTCCAGTCACAGGCTGTTACCTTGACCAAACGGCATGCTAACTACATGTATGGCTCCTGGTGCTGTTTTTTCACCTGTGAAAGATAGAGGCGCTGTTTTACTGGGCATGTGCACCATGTCAGACTGAGCTCTGAGCACAATACAGAGTGACAGAACAACACACACACACACACACAAAACACCAAAACCCTCAGTCCTCCTCCCTCCTGCCCTACTCCCAACACAACCTCCTCCCTCTTTACACTCCTTCACGAGGACATCTGCTCCCCAAGCGTGGCTGCCATTGTGGCACTCCAAACTAACAGAGGTTTTAGCCACTGGTGGTGTGAAATTAAACAGCCACCTCGTCCCTTGATGATAAGTGGCATCCTGTCTTCATGCTGCGGCTATCTCCTGTCACACAGCACAAGGTCATGCTTTCAAGGGTGATCATGGGAATTAAAGTTCACCCTTGTAGAAAAAAAAGTTAAAGAAAGAGTTTAACAGAAGGGATAATAGTTGTGGAAGCTGTCATGCAAGGGGAGATTCTGACTGTTGAGTTCTTTTGAGTAAACCTCATTTAATACTTTGCTGTTCAACAGAAATGTTACCTTAATACATATCTTCATACACCACCCATGTTCATTTCATGCTCAGAGTTGATAAAGGTAAACACACACAGGGCTTGCTGATACTTCAAGGTACATTTTTTGCAATTCTATTTGATTCACAGGTACAACGTAATTACACATTATTCATTCATAGAGCAGTACACTTAAAAAAGAAAGAATGTAATAGAAGTAATGAAAAGGCTTCTTTTCCTTTCTTTGGCAAATTATCTTTTTGAAATTAATACTTAATATTTCAGTATTGTTATATATTTTTAATTCACTCTTTGCATTTTTGCAATCATAATGTATCCTTCCACATTCATTGCGGTGCTCAGCCTTGATGAGTACTTCAAATGTGAATTAAGGCACTCCATTTAAAGAGGAAAATGAGTAATAATTCAAAGATATTAATAAAACATAATAATGCTATTCAGGAAAATTGAAAGTTGAAAAACAGGGGAGAGAAGGAAGGAAACATGAACTCTTTGAGTGTTTAGTGATGTTATACCGTTGCATGCCTTGAATATGATTTACGCAGCTGGTGAAGCAGGTCACTTGAGTAAAGGATGTTGTCACTGTGTTCTGATGGAGAGGATGAGGTCAAGGAGAACTCCTAATACGGCTACTTAGTCAAACCATATAACCCATTAATATAGATGCTGTAGTTTATATAATCCCTATTTTCTGACTTGATACATGATGGGAAAAAGACACGGTGTAGACAGACAGAAAAGCTGAGCAGCATGAACATAAAAGTGGACAGATTAAAGCTTACTTTTTCTATCTTTACCTCAAAACTCTGACTTTCCTCTCCTTTCACTCCCTAAACGTAGTCTCTTTCAAATTAAGATTGTTAAACAATGGAAATGAGTTTTTTCATACTGGGGCTTTAAAAAATAATATTAGAAGTTTTTTATGATCATTATGGTGTTAATATGAAATGCCCTGGCAATATCTGAAGTAATTTTCTAACTCTACTTAAGCTCTGATGTCAGTGATATAATGGTTTGTTATGGCCTTGGCTCGTATTATTTCCCCTTGCACTTATAGACAATAAAAGTAAAATGCAACACAGCATGAATCAACCGATAGTGGATAAGTTGTCCAATATTTGTAATGAGGTTGAATGTACAGTACAGTACTGTATTGTGTAAACTTGCTTTTTTGAAGTACTTGGGGTGTTGTCATACATTTTAGATACAGCACACTACATAAGGGTTATTTTCCAGGATAGATGTATTTCTGTCGCGTTAGGCTGCTACTCCGGCTGCAGGAGAAGGGGCACTGCTGATGCCCCTGTCATGACTTCTGCCTTAACGTTTACTCCCACGGGGTACCACTGCAGCAGCCTGTTGACCAGTGGGGCAACTCAAGCTGAAGTAGCCGCTTTAAGCCTGCGTGAGCTCCCATTTTTCAATGTTCAAGTCTATAAATGATGCTGATAAATATTTGTCAATTCCCATTTTATTTTATTGGGTTCAAAAACTGTACACAATTATTACTTTAAAAATGTTTCATATTTCCTTCAGAATCCCATAAATACCAATTAATAACAAATGGGGGTTATTATTCAGAAGATAGCCTGGTTCTTGTTATTTCCTTGTTGATATACACAGATGAATTAAAGATTTAATTTTGAATTTAACTACATGCATTCAGTTTAGGAAACTACTTTAACCAGTTTTTGCACAGTCCTAATGCAGCCTTTAACCACCTTTCTTTATTCTAAATAGAAAAAGACAAAAATATAAGCTTTCCAAAAGGTCATAGGTTTTCTTTCACCTCTGTTCTAATCTTAAACAGACTAAGCCAAAATAGTAAATAGTTGGAAAAATCTGTGAGTTGTTTTTCTGCTAACAATAGGGTTATCTTAATATGCTCAAACTCTTCAACGTTGTTTCCTCAGTGTTCTAGATTTAAACATAGTTGCATATATTAAAATAATTAATTAACAATAAAACACCTACCATCTTTGAAAAAAAAAAAAAACCCTATAAGAATATTAGGAATGAATTAATAAATCGATTACAGGGATAAAGGCTTAAACATTTTGCAGATTCCCTTTTCACCAATAAGAATTCCTCGTGGAGACAGTTGAAACCTCATTAACTTTAAGAGATGTGTAAATAACGTTTAGACTTTAAATCCATAAACCAAAAATCTGCACTTTGTTAATAGGAAATTAAATTTACACAAAAATATTCACACAGAAAATGTAAAACTATATGTTGATGTTTAGTTTACTTTGATGCAAGAATCAATGTGCTCAGTTAGCAAGCAGGTGACTTTTTTCCCCATAACTGTTGCTCACTGCCTTTCTCCTTCTGCAGTCTAGCTTTCGTATCCACTATGTTTGACATATGACATAAAAACAGAATACAAGGGTATTTTCTTCGAAAATCTTTTATAGACTGAAATATATAGACTGATACTTAAAAATGGAATTTTGTGCCCAAGTATAGATTGATGGCTTGCAATGCCTTGGGCTGTAGCTGCAAAATGTAAAATACATATATTTTTTTCATTTTGACAGTGTTCATAAACCTTTAGCTAAAACTAATGAAAGTGTTTACTTTCTGAAATTAATATTTAGATTTTGACAAACTTTATTGTTTAAATAAGAGTCTTATATTCTGTGATTTTTATTTTATTTAAAGTCATTTTTAATAGATATCATACATTTAAGATTAGAAAACATAATGTATAAAAAAAATCTCTTTAAGAAATAAGTGCTTTTTCATTTATTTTTAGGACACAATAGCTTCTCTTTCACTTTATCTTTGTTTCTCTGTCACTCCAACAGCAGCACACAAACATATAATCAGTCACAGATCATTCGAAGTCATTTTGATGAAAAATGAGTAGCAGTGTAATTTGGGATAGCTGGGAGCCAGTGCTGATGTCATTAGGCAGCACCTTGGATGATAAGGCAATCCCAGCAACTGAATAACTAAATAAATTAAAATCATTCCTTATATATTCTTTTCACTTCCCTTCAGAACCCTCCTCTTCCAAATCCTGACCCCTCATCCCTACCCCCTATTGCTTGCCTTCCCTAAGTACACATATCACAAATACACCCCTGATGCAGTCGTCCCCACTGCTCCCTTCCCCCTGCGTGTCCACCGGCATATCAGGGGGAAAAATGAATGCAGCTTTCTAATAAATAATGCATTCTACTAATACACATTCAGGTGGAGACAGTCTTTGGCCCATCTTGTGTATACCCACAGAGGGGAAAAATATAAAATCCAAGATGGGAAAGCTTTCCTCCTGATCTGAAATCACTGACTGCTTGATAATAGGCTAAAACAACGTGCACAAAAGTGAAAGAGTGAGAGAGGAGGATAGTGATGAGAGAGAGGGAACCGGGGAAGAAGAGGTGAAGGGGGGGTAAGAGAGAGGGAGAGAGTGGCAAGCATATTATAACTCATCCATGTGGATCACCCTAGTAGATTGGGAGCAATCCCTTGTTGAAATTGTCTTCTAAACACTTAGAGAGAAGGAGACAGAACGGAGCGGCCAGCCCATCTCAGTGTGCCTGTGTGTGTGCTCTCACACTGCCTCCTATCCCAGCCAAGGTAGAGAGACCTCTGACAGACTGCCTGCCTGTGTGTGTGTGTTTCACCTTGCTTCAGTGTGTTTCCTATCTTGTCAGCCAGCCAGCAAGGGTGTGAGTTTGTGTATGTGTTTGAGCAAGATGGAGAGAGTAGACGGATCTGTGTGTGGGGTGGTGGAGGAGGCGGTGGGTATTATGCACACTGGATGTTGACTCGTGCTTTAAACAGTTGCCTACGAGCCCAGGTAGGGTGTGCTGGCTTCTAAATAAGCAGCACATTCACCGTCCCCTTCAGGACGGGAGGCAAGGCTGCAGAGTGTGAAATCAGACTAATACAGTGGCGTAGGACTGAGCAGGAGCAGGAAAAAGCTCCCGCATGACTTACTTAGACTAGAAGGGTAGAGAGAGAAAGACAGAAAGAGGGGGAGAGAGAGAGGACAAGAACCAGCAGAAGATAAAAAGGGATTGGACATCAGAGATAAAAGGGGAAAAAAGGCAGTAAGGTCAGTATTTTATTTTAATTGATTTTATTCAGTCATTTCTCTTGTATGGATGATTCCTTAAAATCTTTACACTTTAGTGGAGTTAGTGTGGGACTGGGACCGAGTCTCTGACTGTTGTGATTTGCTGGAGAAAGTATTGATTGTAAGTTTGTGGGAGGTGAGGGCAGATGGAGAGAGTAGAGGTAGGGGGACTGGTATAGAGTGGCCTAACTTTTTATGTAGTATATGTTTATGTAAGGGTGGAGATTATATATATTTTTGTTTACATATCGGCTTATGCATTTATATTTGGTTTACTGAGCAGGATGTGAACTTGCATTCTAGGTAGTTTTGCTTGCTTTTTGATATATTTTTTTTTAGAATTTTAGTTAACAGAAAAGGTGGGTGTTCACACAACATGTAACTTTAATATGGCAGGGTATAAAATAGGTCATGATCAGGTGCAGAAAAATACTTTTTCACCTCCAGTTTGCATAGATGACGTACTGTAAAGAAAAGATTCTAGTGACAGACAGACAGAGTAAAGCTCCAAACACAGTGAACAGTCACTATGTCATGCGGAGGCACGTTATCCAATCAGACACTGCGTGCATGGATACAGGAAGATCATGTGACTATGGTGCACACATGAAATGGGGTCCAAAGCCTCAGTAAAGAAATCTCTGCTAATAATATTGTCTTGAAATGGCTTGTTTATTTACTTAAATGTCTGATCTCAATCTTTTTTACATTCTAAACATCATCATGAAATTGACCATGTAATAATAGTTAATATAATCCCCTTTTACCTAAAAACATTTTAATAAGCAGGAGCAAAACATCGTGCTAAACCACACACAGGCAAAGGAAAAGTGAAAAAGCCTGGACAACCAAATTGTCAGCAATACTAAAGACATCAACACAAAAATTTCAGCCATCCATCATAGCTGTCGGCCTTTTTCTGTGGCGACAGTGATTTATTCCAGGGCTGAAATCATTTGGAGACTCTCGCTCCCTAACTCACCGGCTTTCTCGCTTACATTCACTGACAAACACACACACACAAATCTACAATGCACAGCAACTCCTCCAGTGTCTAGGTGTTGGATGTGTCCTGTTGTACATATCTAGAGTTGAGATTGGATGAATGTGGAATTATATCTGACTTGGCTTATATATTCTATGGATTGTTAAATGTTTGTTTTCAGCAGTGTTTACTTCCAAAAATATGTACTTCATATCAGTGTGTCACATCAGACAATCAGAAGAATCACAATGTCTCTTTGAAGAAATGCTTGGTCAATTTTTACAATTCATAACAGCCTATGAAACACCTTTAAGTTTAGATCTCAGTTTCAGGGAAAAATGTAAACATTTTTAGCATTAATATGTTAAAAATCATATTCTTAAATAGAATTAGTTATGATGCATAACATGACTTATATATTTCTTCAGTTGGTCACAAAGAAAAAGATAAATATTAAAAGGTAAAATATACATAAAACATATTTCATGGATGTTATGGTGGAAAAGGTTAGACTTTGTCCCAAATTGAAAAAAAGATTAAAACATGTTCAACTATATTTTATTTAGCTTAAGTTACACCAGAATTTATGAAAAAATCAGTCAAGTTTAATCACTGTCAATGTTTTTCTCTTTTTTGTAACACTTTAATGATAAATTAGAATAAAACTGTCAGACGGTGGTGACCCACATTCTAAACGTCCCTATAAATTCCACACAGGAAGTGGCAGGAATTTCTCTAAGACTATTTATGACATGTGTATTAGCAATGCATCTAGCAGAGTAGATGTGGAGACATTAATTAAAATGGATATACTGTGTTTTCTTTTTTATAATGTCTGTTTATTTGTGAAAATTATGAGCAAAAATGCCTACTTGAGGCAAAGCTATTTTGACTCCCTTCTTTATTTTTAATACACTGTCATTTCATTTCCTTTGCTTTCTCCACCACTTCTTTGGTGTTTTTTTTAATATGTTGGATGATAAACCAGTTCCTTTGTGCAGGGACATTTATAAGTCAGTGAAATGCCAGTAATAACCCCACTATTTTCTTCGCCTGTGCTTTACCTCTAAGCCTTAGTCAATTCCATATAGCTGCATCCTTAGATTGGCACGTGCATTTCTTTGTTCAAGAGAGTGCATGCATACAGTATGTAGTCACATAATGTTGAACTTACTGATATTGTTCCTGGGGGATGGGCATATTGTTTGATTTGCTTGAACATAATGATGTCAGTTTTGCAGATGCATGGTCAGGAGCTCTCAGCTCTCAATGTTTTCATCTTTGTTGCTGGTTTGAGTTGGTCTGTGTGCTGCTGGAGTTGAGCAGAGTAGAGAACGCTTTGTTTTGTGTCAGCTCTGCTCTGGCCTTTTGCATATCTAGAGAAATTATGTTTGTGCTGGCATTGAAATTGGCCAAGGAGGTCACTCTGGCTCGAAGACAAAACTCTGAACGTTTCTTAAGTTAACAGAACCAAATGCATATTAAAATTGAAAAATTTGGTTCCTCCGTTAAGCAAACTACATTTATGGGGAAAAAGTAATTACCAGAAGATGGTCGTAAAAAGGTGGGTAATTAAAATTTTTAATTTATCTTGATTATATGATTTAATCTTGAAGTACATTAACATTCACTGATATGAATTTAAAATGCCAAATACGCCCATAAAGATTGGATTTAAAGTATAAAATAAACAGGTCAATCATTAAAGCCCAGTAGCATTGGAACTTATACATGTATGAGGCATTTGTGACCAAGGCTGTCAGAGCTTCTGCATAATGATTGAACAGAGTCTAAGGTATGGCCCTTGCCATGATAAGGAGCCAAACTTAGCTTTGCTTCTAAAATCCTGGATTAATGCTGGCTTTAAGAGCTTAACATGGTCATTCATTCAGACATGCACTGGATTGACTGGCCTACCCCTGCTGCCTGTTATCTTCTTTGAAGTTTTACAAGCACAGTAGCCTGTGAAGAACCATCACTTACTATGGGTCTCAAAAGTGTCCAATGCTAAGGCTTTTTACCATACATAGTTTCTAATTAATCTATAATTTTATCAAAAAAAAAAAAAAAAAAAACCCCGTCATTTTAACATTTCATTTTAATGCCAATAGACTGATTCATGAAGTTATGCTAAGTATTGTACCACTACCAGCGGTGTCCAATTTAGGAAGATGTGAGCCTCTAAAAATGACAGCCAGCCAAATTAAATGAAGCACAGGAATGAAGAACATGGTGCAAAAAAACACTATTTCCTTATTTCCCATATTTGAGAATCTGGGCCCCTATCTCTTGGTGGTCCACTCCGTCTAATGGTCATATGCACTGTGTTTCTGATGAGTGAGTTTTGATCTATTTTTTAACTTACTGTTGTTGGTGATTGCAGCAATTTTATTCTTGCTTCTGTCTATTTTTAGTAGCATGTTTTTGGGGATTGTCTCACCCTGCTGCTCCAGGCCACTAGGGGGAGATGATAATCAATTCATATTGACCAGACCCTTGGAAAGGTATAAACGGTATGCTCAGAGAGATTAAATGTTTAAAACTATTCAAAGGAAAATTTAACTTATCGTTTTCACCTCCAAATGCCACATGGATGGCATCCTGTTCATGTTTTTTTTCGCAACCGATCTTTTCCATAGACATTCATACATAGTAACGTCTATGATCTGGTACCATATGTGTAGATGATTGTTTCCCCCAGTGGTCTGGAACAGCTTCATTTGCAGCATTTCTTAACTTGTAACTGTTTTTAATAGTTTTCATTTGCATGTTTTTTGTTTTTTTGTTTGTTTTTTTTGTGTGTGGTAGCATTAGTTATAAATTGGCAGCAGTTTTGTGTTTGCAGGGCGTTTCCACTTTTCTCCTGACTTTCTCCTCCTATTTTCTGATTGCAGTATTTCTCTTGCAGCAGTTTCCTTTGCATATGTTTTGTATGTTAGTTTTTGTGTATGAAAGTCAAAATTTTCCATGTCCCTGTCTAATTTCTGAGTTTGTGCTCTATTTTCTGTATTATTTTGAATTTGTGCTTTTGCACCACCCCACCCACCACAGACTTAGACTTAGACAGACTTTATTGTCATTTTGTACACACAGAGCAAATACAAAAAAGACATTTCTTTCAGTACAGCTCTCAAGACATTTCCATTGTAAAAGTGCAACAGTGATAAAATGTAAGCAGCAGAAAATAGTATAAAATCTTGAGTATCTTTCATTTTTTCTTAGTTTTGTACAGACAACATTTTTGGGCATTGTAAAGTTTTTGATTTTTACAATCATACAAATTACTATATATTCAAAATATTAGAATAAACAACCTAACATTTAACCAAGCAGTTAACTATTTTTTGTGTAGTCCAATTTTGATGTGAAATTAAATCTTCAGAACTGCACTTCCCATCATCCTAAAAGCTTAAAATCTGATAAAAGGCATTTTGTAAATATGCTTATATTGCTTCTTGTCTAGATCAGATTTGAAAAATTGTACATTTTTATGCTATAGCTTTGTGGAGCTTATGCTCAATATATTGATGCTATAGTGTATGTGCATATATAGATTCCCTTTTTTGTCTCATCCTACTCATCAGAGCATTAATATTAAAATACACCAGTCAGATATTTGTTGGTGTTATTAGTAAAAAGGGCAATAATGTTTATTTTATTCAAATTTTCTTTGTATTGAAATTTCAACAGAATTCTTTTAAAATGCCACTAATTTTACTTTCTCATTGTGAGACAAAGTGAGGAAAAAAGCTTTTGACTGAATGATATTATGAGCCGATAATCAGATTGAAAACATTATTTTTCCATCTTTTTTACATGATTTCTAGTATGACTTTTCTTTCAGTGACTCCGTCTGCCAATAATTGTGTCAATCTGTGTTTTTGTATTTAAAATGTCTAATAAACAGTGAATAGGGATGAAATTTTAACATTACGTGAGTGCTTAAAACTAATTCATGTTTTTTGGTTTTTATATATATTTAACATAAAAGGGT